TGTGTGTGTGTGTGTGATTGTGTGTGTGTGTGATTGTGTGTGTGTGATTGTGTGTGTGTGTGTGTGATTGTGTGTGTGTGTGTGATTGTGTGTGTGTGTGTGTGCGCGCGCGCGCGCGTGTGCACGCGCGCATGCAGTTTTTTGTGCGTACACATCTGCGGTCAGCACATAACGCATAGACATGAGAGCAAGGTCAACAACACTTGCTGGACGAGGAGGGACCCCCAGATCTCACAAGCCCTCTCATACTCTGCCCCGGTCCCCCATGCCCACGTCAACGCCGCCGTCTGCTGCCGTGTGCCTTTCGTGCCCCCATTCTCACCAGCTGAGCCCGGCCTCGTAGAGGGCAAAGGGCAGCGCTGTCAGCCACACAAACCTGCGGGTTGAGGCGCAAGAGGGGGCGTCGGTTGGACGCTGCCTCGGGCAAGTACCGTAGGCAGAGCGCGGGGCGTGCTGTCCAGCACAGGCTGTGGGCAGCCGGGGTAGGAGGAGCTATGGTGGGGCAAGTGATTTAAAACAAAGAGCTGGCGGCGGCGCCCTGTGAGTTTGTTCTGGCGCACACCGCGGCCCTGCACCAGGCGCCCGCCACGCTCCCCCAGGGGTCGCCCCGCCCACGAGCGCGCCGGCCGCGTCCCCGCCCACATGAAGCGGCTGGTGTGGCGGGTGTAGGCGAGGGGAATTGGGTACCGCAGCAGCTTGTCGCATGCCCCGATCTGCATGCCCAATACCTGCAGGCGCAGCGCAACGGTGCAGCATGAGGAGCCGCGCGTGTCAGCCACGCCAGGGCGGGTGTAGAAGCTGTCGACGTGTCAAGGGGCTGCGAGGCGCGTCAGTCGTCGAGTGCGGGGCAAAGCGCGAGCACGGCGCCTTCTTGAAGTGACTTGAATCACGCCACCCTGCCCGCTTCTGTCCGGCCGGGCTGGGGGTCACCTTGATTGAGGAGTGCAGCTGCTCTGCGCGGTGCTCCCCCAGGCTGCACTGCTCCACCACCTCGCTCATGACCTGGGGCATGTGGCAATTGGTTGGCAATCTTGGGACTTGGTTGACGGGTGACGCTGATTCCCAGGCGTGCAGGACGGCTGAGGGTGGGCGGCGTTGTGTCAACGACCTGGCAAGCAGATGTGCAGGAAAGGGGGCCACCATCGTGGCAGGCGCCGCGGAGCAATTGCACGATGCAGCACCAGGCAGGCGCGCTGCACCAGGCTCTCGCACGTGGCATGCCGGACGCGAATGGCACATCAAAGCAGGGCAGGGCGCGGCGCCGACCTGCAGGACGAAGGAGGGCGCGCTGCTGGGGCCGACGGCGCTGACGGCCTCAACCTCCTGCGTTTGAGAATTGGTTGGGTTGTGTAAGTGGTGAGGCGGGGATAGCAAGGGGGTGCAGCTAAATTCTTCATGTAGCACATCTGAATGGTGCGGAAGAGGTTGAAGGTGATCTGGCGTTCAGAGCAATTCTCACTAAACTGACGACATCAACATGACGCCCATTGTCCAGCAGTCAATGCACGACAAATGTGAGTGTACGTTGTGCACACACACACACACACTGTCTCTGTCTCTCTCTGTCTCTCTGTCTGTGTCTCTCTCTGTCTCTCTCTCTCTCTAACAAACTCTTTCACTCACACATGCATAGACGTGCACTCGATTGGACTCTCGCAAATAGACCTGCCCCACCAGCTGCCCACCTCTGACGTCAGCACCCCGTCCAGCTGGTCCTCCAGCTTCGCGTCACACCGCACGTGGCACAGCAGCGAGTGCCCAAACGCCACCGCCCAGCGCATCAGCATGGCCTTGCGGGTCGGCTCCGCCACAAAGTAGCACGCCTGGAGCAGGGAGCATGCGTAAACAACACTCGGTGGTGGGTGATAAGACGGCCCAAGTCAGCAGGGCACATCACATATCTGGCGTCTAACAAGCCCCAACAAGCCCCTCACAGTCTGGGTGCGCAGCCGGCTGAGCCCCTCACCTGCCGCGCGAGGTCCTTGCACTCGCCCCTGACCTTCTCCCACGACTGCAGCGCCTGCTCCCAGCGCGCGTAGCTGCACGGCAGGCGGGAGGGCGGCCAGGCGTCAATCACGAGCTCGCCGCCAGCTGTACTGGCTGTACTGTTGCCCAGTGGGCAACAGCCAAGGAGGCCCTGGCCGCCGCCACATGCGCTCTACTGGTGGTTGCCCTGGGTGGTGCTTTGCCTGCACGCTCTGCATGCCTGCGGATGCCAACCATCACTCCTGTAATGTACACCATTTCACACCCGAACACACATGCGCAAGGCCCCAGTGTGTCCACAACACCTTGCTCTCCGCCCATGGTCCCACCTGCTGTCAGTCCTGAACACCAGCAGCAGGGACAGCGCAAACGAAGTGATCTCCAGCGATGAGTCAGTGATGAACACCTAGTGGTGGGTTTCCAACACGGGGTTGTAGTTTGTGCACGGAATTGTGACTGGGGGTTTGACAGACGGTCAGCGGTTGGGCACAGGGCAGTACCCGTCATGCGCCGGAGTGCTGGCGGTGCTTGCATCCACTCCCAGGCTGAGAGCAGGCGTCTTATGCAGCCGGCACGCCCGCGCCTCACGCCCCCACCCCCTGATGAATCCTGCTCATGCAACGAGACCCAAATCGTTGCAAGCACAGCAGCCGAAGCAGCCCTCTGTGAACCCCAGCACCTTTGGCAGGCTGTATGCTGGCGCGACCCAACTCGAGTACACGCCAGCCGCCACCGCCACCAACCCAAAGTACGTCAATGGGGCCATCAGGGCTTTGAGGGTGCGGCTCATGAATATTCCCTTGATGTGGCGCGTGTAGCGCAACGTCGACCGGTGCGCGGCCCCTGCAAGCATGGGGTCAGAGGGGAGCGCGCGAGAGCGTGTCGGGCTGAAGAGGGGAGTCAGGGGCATGAGCGAGGGCGCTGCCACAACTGCCGCTCTGTGGGCAATGAGGGCGCAGCCGGTTTGTAAAATTCAGCGGCTGCGCAATCGCCCTTGCTGCTGCTGCCCGCCCCGCTGCTGCGGTGGCGCGAGGCGTTGAGATTTGCGTCCTAGGATCTTGAAGCATGCGACTTGTAATGCCTGGAGCCGACACCACAGCTTCCGGCAGAGGTGCGCGCCCCAGCAATTTGCCAAAAACATGCATGCCGCTGGAAGTGTGGCTGCATGCGCCCAGGTTTGGCAAGCAACCTAGCGCTCCGTTGTTGAGTCGGCGCTCACATCTCTCGAAACCGAAAACAGCCCTTCGGAATTGCCGCTCGTCCTCCTGTGCCAGGTCAGCCGCCGTCAACCGCACCCGCAGCCCGCTCGCGCTGCGGGGCCTCTTCGGCGGCGCGGCTGCAGGCGTGGTCGCCGCCGCGGGCGCGTCCGCTTGGCCGCTGCTGACGCCTGGCGAGCCCTGCATATTGCCCATGCCATACCTGATGGGAGCGGATGGTCATGGTGACAAACCATGGTCGTGGGGACAAAGGATGGCGATGGGCTGCCATGGACCACACTGCCCGACCTGCGCACGCTGCCTGCGTCCTGCCTGCTATGGTGATGCCAAAGTGCCTGACAGCCGCTGCATATATACATGGTATTGAAGCCATCGGGGCTGCTCAGAAGCCCACCACTGCAAGTCATCAGTGAAGTCTGGGTCCAGGATCAGCTTGGGGGATGGCTGGGTCCGCCTCAGCCGCTCCACAACTGACAAGCCGTCGCCCTCGTCGCTGCTGCCGCTGACCGCATCGGCGTCCAGGACCGTCAGGGATGGGAAACGCGGCGGGGAGGCGCCGCCGGGCGGGGTGGCGCAGACGGACGCAGGCCAGCGACGGGCGGGCGGGAGGCGGCGGCGGCGTGACTGCGCTGCGCTGACGGGGGTGGCATGCGGCGGGCCGGCAAGGGCCCGGCCGACGCCAGGCAGCTGCCACCGCTGCACCCACATGTATTGAGATTGCTGAGTTACTAAACAGCGCGCTGCTTGAGCACGCGGTCAAATCGGGACAACGACGCGGCCACCCGCGGCCGCTGAAGCAATTAATAATCTCAATCGAGTTTTGCGTTATGAATTACCAACATATGATACTGCGTGGGCCTATAACGCCGATCTGAAGAGCCGGCCATCCAAGCAGGGCGGTTATATTTTGAGGTTCCTGCTGTCAACTCTTGGTTTGGATTCAATTGAAACCTTTCTACAAGTTCAGATCGACATGATGACGACGCCGCAAGTAACCATCCCTGTGATCACTAGCAAGGAGGACATGCGGGCCTGGACGAGGCAGCAGAAAAAGGACGGCAAAAGGGTCGGCTTTGTGCCGACAATGGTAGGATGACAGCACGCGTGCGGCGGGTGCCGCATTGCTTCCTCCGCCATTGGCTGACTGCTGGCTTGGAGCAGTGTGCAGTTAAGTGCTCGACTTTGCAACACCGCTCTGAGCCCATATGTATAACCCTTGTTGTTCACCCTCGCTCCTGGCTGCCACAGGGGTACCTGCACGAGGGCCACCTGTCGCTCGTCGGCGCGGCAAAGTGCGTGCCTGGCCGCTCATGCTCACTCCGCACGCGCTACTGGCTCACCCTAATCTGCGGGCGCATGGCGCCGCATGGCATTGCACGGCGCCGCATGCGAGCCCAGGGTGTTGCGCAGCAACTCAACTGACATTGCCTGGGCGCGCACACATACTCGAGCCCCCCTCCTACCTGTGGCTGGCCTCTGAGCTTGAATCCCATTCCCAGCTCAAGTTCTGTGTGAAGCTCAACCCACACGCACACACACACACACACACACACACACACACACACACACACACACACACACATGCGCAACACACACAGGGAGCGCACGGATGTGGTGGTGGCCTCCATTTATGTCAACCCAACACAGGTCTGATACCAAATCAACGAATGTGCTGAGCTGATTTGGATGACGGGGCGTGTTGCACTTGCCATCCTCTGGCCCATGTCGGCACCCTCAGCTCCCTCTGCTTGCCCATGCACTCATCATGGCTGAGTTTCTGTGCTTCAAATCGCATGTTTTTTGAATATGCTGCCTCTGCCATTTGCACACCACGCCACCCCTCAGTTCAGCGCGAACGAAGATTTTGATGTCTACCCCCGCAACGCTGTGAGCAGGGCGGCGGGGTGCCGTCTGGGGGTGGTGCACGCAGCCTCGGCTCCACGCACGGCGCAAGCCCGACGCCTGTGAGAGTGCATGCAGCCCCAATGCCGCCTGATCATTTAGATTGGGCCAGCAGCATTCCACACTGCGTATCACCTCTTACAAAAGATCACAAACGCATACATACACACAAGCCCAAGCGTGTCTCACCATCCTCCACCTCCACACCCTCCAAAGGCGGAGGACCGGCGGAAGCTGCAGGAAGCTGGCTGCTCGGTGGTGTTTGAGCCCGAAAGCCTCTACCACCAAGGCGAGCGACATGGCATCCGCAATAGGCATGGCTGTGTTGCTGTTGGCCCTCCAGCCTCCCATGCTCAGTCGACCTCGCAGCTTTGCCGCGCTGCGCTTAATGGCAGTGCCGCCCCGCACAAACGCCGGGGGTCCACACCCTGTGCGTATGTTATAATGCTGGCATGTCATGTCATGCCTGCTCCAGCTGCGACATCAGCATTCAATGCGACACGACTCTCTGAACCGACCCCGAAAACGCCGCGCCCGCAGTGGAGGGCGCGGAGGGTGACGGCGGCAACGTGGTCGGCCGGGAGAGCGGGCACCCGGACTCTCACGAGACGTTCGTGACGGTGGAGCGCCTGCAGCTGCCGCTGTGCGGCGGGTCCCGGCCGCACTTCTTCAGGGGCGTCGCCACGGTGGGCTGTAGGGGGGGGCACGAGCGGCCATGACAGCCGCATGCGTTGAGCCTGGGGGCTAAGGATTTTGGGCGCTAACTGGGCCAGGGCGCGCACCGTTGTGCTTGGTGCTGTTGGAGGTCCCGGAGGGGATGCTGCTGACCAGAACGGCCGCACGCGTAGGAGTGCAACTAATGCTGCGCACAGACACCCACACCCTTATCAACTGGTGCATGCACTAACGCACGCACAGGCAAACACACACATGAGTGTGTTTGTGTGTGTATGTGTGCGTGTGTGCCTATCTCTGTCTCCCTCCCCTCCTCTCTCTCTCACCCACACGCACACACACGCACGCACACACGCACACAACACGCGCACCTGCGAAATTGCGCTCACAGATCGTAACCAAGCTGTTCCACATAGTAGAGCCAGACGTGGCCGTCTTTGGCCGCAAGGACTACCAGCAGTGGCGAGTCATCACGCGAATGGCGAGTCGCTGTGCATAGCGCGCATCGCCAACGCAGGGTTCAGGGGCCTCAACAAGCACGGGCGCCCCACCAGCCCGGTTCGCGCATGGCCTCTCCCCCCATCACTTTAGTTCAACACATGTGGGGCGCTGGCCGCCTCCCCCTCCAACACACATACAAACCAACTCCCCCCATCGTCAATCCAGCAGGTGCGTGACCTGGACTTCCCCATTGAGATCGTGGGCATGCCGATCGCCCGTGAGGCGGACGGCCTGGCCATGAGCAGGTGGGAGCCGAATGGACTTTCCTGAAGATCAAGGGGCGGGCGCACGAGGCCAAAGTCCGGCGGGCATTTGGGGGAGAAGCCGGTTGCAAGACGCCAGCTCAGCTGTGTGGTCGGCGAGGTCGTCTGCATGCAGCTGGCCTTGCATGTTTGCTCCACTGTCACAGGGGAACACAGTCGGTGACGGCTGCTGTTTCGCGATCAGTCATTTGTGGGCTGTTCAGCACACTGCATGGCCGACTTGTCCCGCCCTCGCTCATGATCAGCCCACACACCACGCCCATCGCAGCCGAAACGCGCGGCTGTCGCCAGAGGCACGCCAGGCGTGCCTGGCCATACCCCGCGCCATTCAGTGGGCCGAGGCCGCGGTCGCGGGGGCGGCGTTACCAGGGCAAGGGCAGGAGCTGGGCGGCCTGTCGGATCCTCAGGCCGTGGCGGATGAGGTGGCGCGGCAGATAGCAGAGGCGGGCGGCAAGGTGGACTATGTTGAGGTGCGGAGGAATGAGACAGCATACCCCTCATTCATTTGGCTGACGTGCAGCGGGGCAATTCTGTCGCACAAATGCTCCTGAACAAGCGAGCGCGATTTGCACCGCCAGCAGCCGCTGTCAGGGGTTCAGCCCTGCACCACCTGCCGATCTCACTCTGAGCAACTGCTCAAGTCCATGGCAAGGGTGCTGTTTGCCCACCTAGTCAGGAGAAAAGAAGGCATGAGGCAGGCTTGCTGACTGCCATCACCGTGACCTGGGTGCTGGTGCCTCGAAGCCCCATCCCCTGACACAACACACACATACAAACACACACGCACACACACGCACACACAGTTGCGCCACGCGGAGAACCTGCAGCCCGTGAGCGACCTGCGCGCGCAGCCGACGCTGCTGGCGGTGGCGGCGCACTTCCCCGCGAAAGACCGCGGCACTGTGCGGCTGATCGACAACACAGTGCTCCAGGGCGGCGCATGATGAAATCTTCTGGGGGACTTTGGTGGGCTCGGCGATGCCGGGGTGGCGCTCGATGTTGGGGACACCCGGGTGCGGATGAGCTCGTGGTTTGAACCCTATGCAGAACTGGAAACGCAACATTCAGTATGGTGCTTGAATTCAAGGATGCTCATCAAGGAGTTCTTGGCTGTTTCTGGCATGCCCTGGCGTCCCTTGACAGCGCCGCGTTCATGCGGCGTCTCCTCGCCCACACGCTGTGCGACGCACGCGCGGGGCATTCACAGCCCCTCACTCCCCCGGTCGTCCCAAGATTCACAGCTCAGTCCTACCTCGAGCCGTGCCGCCCGCGGCAAGCTGTAATACTGAACCCCCACCACTGCGGTTGGGCTGGCAACTGTCGGCCATACCCCCATAGCAGCCGTCGCCTCGTTGCTGCAGCCAAAGCGTTTCAGTCAGCAGGTCCCGTGGAATCAGGGATGTCGCGTGCACCCGGCATGCCGGCGGCTCCTCAAATGGGACACTGTTCTTATGGCAGGTGATGCTGGTGACATGCTTGCAAGTCCTGACAGCGCTTCCCCATTGCCCTTGAACTTGGATCAAAACGGGGTCATATATACGATCCGTAAGTCAGATGGAGTCCGCGGAGGAGCTGGTGAGACCCAGATCACGTCCCAGCGGATGCACGAACTTAGGACTGCTAATAGCATGAGAGTTCGATCAATTACACACGTGAAATGTGGAAGGCTCATCAGGCAGCGTTGTGTGTAGCAGTCCCGTGCTCATCAGCGGGGTCGCACCCGCCGACACTTCACATGCAACAGCACACAAGTCGCAAACCCGCACGGCCAAACATTCGCAGGCCGGCCAGCTGGATGATGCGATTGATCTGTATGAGCAGCAGGTGTCTGAGCTGCAGCAGGGGCTGTCGGAGAACCCAGACGAGCGGGAGCAGGCTAGTGAGGCTTTAGAGGTGGGTGCAGCCGGCTGCGGTGTGCTGTGCTGAGATGTGATGTGAGTACCCTGATATGCATGTTGTGACACATTCAGACGAAGATGGAGTGTTTATGGTGGTGGTGACTTCTGCTTGTGCTGATTGCGGGGTGTGAGCGGCAGCCATCGGTTCCCCCTACACGGGTCCGCTGAACAGCTGCTGCACAGCTGCGCCCCAGCTTCTCTGCGCCACGTGAGCGCTCGTTCCACCCCAGAGACAACATCATCACCATCACCATCATCGTCAGCCGCAGCAGCAGCAGCAGCTGCAGCAGCAGCACACAATGTAAACGCGCACATCGTTCCTTACATTACTACAAATCATCAATTCTGCATTGCACCTGCATCAGCTGCTGGCGCAGCTGGAGGAGGCGCTGAGGGAGGCGAGGGAGGCGCGTGCTTCGCTGCAGGCCGGCCTTGGCGCACCCCCGCAGGGGCGCGACAACGCGACACATTCAAACGGGGCAGCGCCGGCCAGTGACGTGGCGGCGGCGCCTCAGGTGGAGGCAGAGGCGGCAGGCGGGGCTGATGAAAGCGGTCACATGCGGGACAGGTCAGCGCCGACGCGGATGCACCCGGAGAACTTCTATTTCGACCGGGAGCCGGACTTTGCGGCCCTAGCGGAGCGCTACCCGGCGCTGAGGCCGTTCCTTGTGCAGCCGCCTTTGGGTGAGCGGGCCGCCAGCTCGGGGCTGCGCGGCAAGGCAACCAACCTGGCCCGCAGCCGGGCGGCCTTGATTGTGCGCTGCCTCTGCAAGCCAGGGCGCACACGTCCGGCCCGCCGGCCTGCAGCGGCGCCTCCCAGGCTCAGCGGCGTTTGCGAGTGGAGCGTGCAGGCGGGCTTGCGAGCAGCAGCTGGCTCATATTCTCACACGGTACACCATCAAAGGCTTGTGCAGGCACTCGCTCAGCACACCTCACTATCTTCACGGCTCTCCCTCCACCATCCTCTCATCCATCACATCATGAACTTCATGAGCACCCAGCCGGCAGAGGGCAACCCCATCCCTTCCCTCTCTACCCCTAACCCCCCAACCCCCTGCAGGCGGCCGCCCCACCCTGGACTGGACGAGTTGGCACGCCACCCGCGAACTGACCCGCACGCTGCTGGCCGCTGACTACGGCGTCACCTGGTCACTGCCGGACGGCCAGCTGGTGCCGCCGGTGCCGAACAGGTGCGTGCGGGCGGGAGGCAGGCGGAGATCGCAGGGTGTATGCGTTCACACACCCTGCAAACCCCATTCAATACTCTCAAAGGCAGGCGCCCTCGTGGAACTTGCACTTTCAAACATGCACACCCAACAAACACAAACTCTTACACGAACACAGCATGATCGTCTCCACTACAGGGCCAACTATATCCATTGGATCCAGGACCTGCTGCAGCTGTCATCACCACCAGGTGGGGCGCCAATCAATGATGGGACGTAATGCGGAGTGACGTCCGGCAGAGCAGCCACTAGCTCCCAGGGCGCCTCACTTTGCCACTCCCTGGAGCCTGTCTGTGCGTATTCGGGACGCTCAGGAGGCCCCCACCTCTCGAGCCACCCCATCACAACACAGTGCATTACAATACACAACAGTGAATGTAATACACGCTACACCACTCTTTTCCAACAGAGGTGGGGCAACACCGGGCACCCTGGCTTCCCAATGGGTGACGCATCCCCCCCCCCACCCCTCCACCCTCAAATGAACTCATGACGGTGACCAACACCCTGTTTTCCGCCAGGCCCCGTGCGCGGCCTCGACATTGGTTGCGGGGCCAACTTCATCTACTGCCTGCTGGGGGCCGCCCTCCACGGCTGGACCATGGTGGGGGTCGACGTAACAGAGGTGGCGCTCAACAGCGCCGCGGCAATCGCGGCAGCAAACCCACAGCTGGCGGGCCTGCTGGAGGTGCGGCGATCGGCGGTGGCGGCGGCGGCGGCTGGGGAGGCGGGGGTTGAGGCTGAGGAGGGGGGCCGGGGCAGCGGTGGCGGCGGGGAAGAGGGTGGGGAGGAGGGTGGGGAGGAGGGTGGGGAGCGGCAGGGTGAAGAGGTGGGAGGGGAGGAGGAGGGGCGTGCATCGGTGGATGGCGGGG